AGGTATGAGGAACAACGTGAGTATATAAACAATGCCTGAACCAGAATATGAGGAACAGTGCGAGTGTATAAACAATACCAGCACCAAAATATGAGGAACAGTGTGAATATATAAACGATACCAGCACCAAAATATGAGGAACAATGTGAATATATAAACAATACCAGCACCAAAATTGGATCTAAATATATGATGCCCCTACATTGTTGACGTGGGTGTGTGGTTTTATTAATATCTGGTTTAGATTAGTTAAATTAAATATTGCGGTGAAAATTTTTCTGGTTTAGAGCAGTTAAATAAATGATTACTATACGGATTTTCTTGGCTTAAAGTATTATACTTACATAAATTATTACGATGTGGATTTTTCTGGTTGAAAATAGATTTATTAATGATTACTATGTGGATTTTCCTGTTTTAAAGTGGTTACATAAATTATTAATATATAGATGTTCCTGGTTTAAAGTAGTTACACAATAGATCATTCTGTGGACTTTCAGGAGATAAGTTAATTACATAGGGATCAATATGTAGATTTTCCTTTTTTAAAGTGGTTACACAAATTATTAATATATAGATGTTCCTGGTTTAAAGTAGTTACACAATAGATCATTCTGTGGACTTTCAGGAGATAAGTTAATTACATAGGGATCAATATGTAGATTTTCCTGAGATAACCTTTCTACGCAAATGTATTGGTAACAATTATTATGAGGCGCTGTTGTCAGTTGAAATGTTTCTGGTGTGTATTTTTTGACATAGATGAATATTGCAATGGTGGTGACGTTTATTGCATTGTGGACACCATATGCTTTGATATCGGTGTGGTCCATTTTTGATAACAACCTACCCATCATCCTCTACATCTTTCCGACCATGTGTGCCAAGAGTTCTTGCATGATGAACCCTATTATCTACGGCTTTACCAATCGCACTCTGCGTGGGGCAATGCAAGAGATCTGGCGATCTGTGTGTTGCCCAGGTCGAACCCAAAATTTCTACCACTGCGGACTGTAAGTATCTAATATTACAGAGAATAGCCTGGCAATCAGTCTGAATAAAGTAATTTCTTTACCGATAAATCATGCTAGTAACTGACACCATTGTACAAGCTTCTCTTTATTAACTTGTTAGTGACGAAAATGATGTTAGAAATAACCGAACTGCATCATTGTTTCTGATAACTCCTTGTTATCCTACTTTATGTTCGTAGAAAACTAAAGAAAAAGTACTCGTAGTACACAGAAAACTAAAGAAAAAGTACTCGTAGTACACAAAAAACTAAAGAAAACTACTCGTAGTACACAGAAAACTAAAGAAAAAGTACTCGTAGTACACAAAAACTAAAGAAAACTACTCGTAGTACACAGAAAACTAAAGAAAAAGTACTCGTAGTACACAAAAACTAAAGAAAACTACTCGTAGTACACAAAAATTAAATAAAAGTACTCGTAGTACACAGACTATTTTTGTATCGATTTTAATTCGCTTCCTAGTGAATCGTCACTAATTAGTTATCTTTAAAGGCAGTTTTGTATTTTTCAAGTTCCACAGATACCAAATGAATATATTGCTGACTCACACGTGTTCCTAATTATCTATCCCATAAAGAGCAATAAGCTCCTTGCTGCTGATTGGCAACACTATAACGAGTAAATTATCTTGTTAATTACATGACCAGGTGCAGCTTAGTTTATAGTCTGCGGGGCTGTGGATCAGAAGGTCCAACGCTCGATCCGCGATATGTTACTGAACAAGCTCTGCGTTCAGTTGTGGAGACGTTATGAGAGTGATAGTGTCCAAATAACAGTTAAAAGTAGCCACATAGGCGGCAGGTGGTGCTGACTGGTTGTCTTCCTTATGATGAATAGTTCTAAATTAGCGAATACAATGTCTAAAATTTATGGCTCTCTAATCCTAACGTTCAGTCTATGAGTTACATAAGGCGCCATTCATATTGAAAACGTCATTTGTCATATGACTTTAGAAAATTCAGTAAAAGTGTCAACAAGATAACCAATATTGTTACTGATATACTTACAATTAAAATATGTTACTTTCCACGTGGTATCTTTAGTGTTGAAAAGAAAATCCATTTAAACGTATTTGTAACTATAATCGCGATGTAGACAAGAATAAAGTAGCAGAAAATATTGGTTCCATTACTATTATCCATCAATTCACTCATTTAAGCAATAATTATTTGCTGAGTTAATGACAAATCGAAATACCTACAAATCTCATTTCAATAACATTATGTGTCACCAAAGTTTCTCAGTGGTAAGTTTCAAGGCTTTTAATGCTAGAATTGTGGGGTCTGTTCCCGTGATGACCGGAGTGCAAATGGCCCATTATGAAACATTGCGCTAAAACAAATAAGCAATTTATCAGAGCTAATTAGTTGGGGTGATTAGTTGAGTTACCTCGAAACTACAGTTTTCAGCTTATAATCGTATGGGATTAGTTATCCAATATGAGGTATTATGTGGCATGTTTCATATCAGAGCGAGATTTCTTGCGATAATTGAATAAGCCTATATTCGACGTAAATCGTAACGTGATTCTCAAACAACAACATTCGTGTGTGAATAAAAACTCTCAAAAATCCACTGCAAAAAAAAAAATTATAATAGAAATGTAAATTAAAACTTCAATCAAAACACTAACTTAATATTAGTAAAAACGACATATACATCCTTACATTTAAACTAAAATAAATATCTGTGTCAGCTAGATAAAAAAAATGTGGACTAAGTAGATTTTCTAGATCTACGTTATAACTAAGGTCTAGCCTTTGAAAGCAAAGTTTTCAGTTCTATACGCCTGACTCGAGGGTTCTGTGTTGGAAAAAGCAATTTTATCATAGCAATCGGTGACTAAGACGTGAGTCTCCTACGTGAGGACGAACGCTACCACTACCGAAGTCTGACACGGCTTTATTCGAGCGCTCTGGACTGAAAACAAGAATAATAAGTTGTATAATTTTGCTTTGCATTGTTTTCAAACTAAGTGTGACCTATTGACATCTAAGGTTATGCTCGAAACAGTGCAATTTTTATAATATGCCTGTCAAGGAAAGAAAACGAGAGAAAGGGGGGAAATATTTTGTTGATAATCTTGAAAAGTATTTGTCCCAGGGAAGATAACATTACTACAACAATAGAGATAAGGCTAGAAACAGTAATGCTAAATATGCGAAACAAGCCTTAGCCATTAATACAGCCAATGAAAAGGGTGTCATCCAGGCTAGATGGCAGAAAAAACTATAACAAAAATATTAGCAACAGCCAGGAAATGTCGAGAGATAGTTCTAAGAAAAGCTACTAGAAGGATAGATCCAGAGTCCAGTCAGTCTCGAGACTTAGCGCTAAAAAAAGCTATGACACAAGTGTAACAACATTTTCAATAAAGAAATTATGAAGTAGGAATGGGAGTACCAAAAAGTAAGGAAACAAGGTAGGAATGGGCAGGTTAACATTACAATAGTTGGTGGTTATTGACATGATGCAACCTCAAAGTGGTGAGGCAATCGTTCTGCCCATTCCTACTTCGCGTTTTACTTTAAACTTTGATCTAATTATAGACTTGAATTGGGTTTTATCAGTAGCTAATCCTTTTTAATTACTCAACAAATATAAAAATATAAAAAATTAGTGGTTTTGATGCTATTCTTTTGGCCCACCCCTTTCCAGTCAGATAGCTATCATGTCTCCCATAAGCAAAGTATCACTATTGGAGCTTCCTGTCTCACTTCCGACATCAAACACCCCCTTATGATGTCATGCAGTTCGTTCGGATCACGTAATTTGATTACATACATATATCTGTACTAGGTTGCTGAAACAAAGTTTACATCAGAGAAACTTAGCTGCATACACCTTTCATTTAGTTTGAACAATTACCAAGTTACAAAAAACACACAAAGTAGGAATGAGAGGAAAGATGGCCACATCCACTTTCAGATTGCACTGTGTTATAAACCACCAAGAGTTGTAATATTAACCCGCCCATTCCTACCTTATTTACTTATTTTTTGTACTCTAATTCCTACTTCCTAATTGTTATTTTTACAATTTATTTTACATATGGAAAAATAATAAACTCATAGATCTAACTGATTCCATAATCCCTTAAATTATAAGAGTTAATTTTTCTTTCTTTTCAGATATCTCACTATTTGAATATATCGAATTCTACCAGTTAATTAAGAAAAGTAAGCTTTTAACAAAACATGTCTAATTCACATATATTTCATTATTTAAATGAAATTACTTCTTAGCAGTTTATATCAATAACTAGGACCTTGCGCTAAATTGTTGCTACCAGTAACATGGTATTAATTGAACAAGCTTTAATTATCTAATTCACAGATATTTAACTTTTTAAATGGTTCTCTAGATGTTTATATTGTTACGTCTCTGGTCGTTTGTTAATTTCCGGTATAAATTCTTTCCGAAGAACTTCAGCGATACAGGTTCTTTCTTAAATAAAAATAGTTTATTCTTCCTCAATACAACTTTGCAATATACTTAATTTCCACAGTCACTTTAACTTAAACACACGATAGAATTCACTACGATTCACGCACTTTACTTACGGCTTGACTCGATTATCTGTCTCTATATCTCTCTGTCTGCAATTATTCTTGCCGTCACTTTATTTGCCGGCTTATATACTAAAATAGAGGGCGCGTAGAAAAGACTAGAGTTGCCAGGAACAGTCATGATCCTTCTAGAAACCCATGACGTGTTACCAGCGTCACGTGACTACCGCTGTCGTAACAATATCAACAACTAGGACTTTGGGCTAAAATGTTGCTACCAGTAACGTGGTATTAATTAAACAAGCCTTATTTGTCTAATTCACACATATTTAACATTGTAAATGACTACAATAACTAGCTAAACTGTTGCTTACATAGCATTAAGTAAACAAGTCTTGAAAATTCAAAAGTGGAACTTTTATTTTAAGTACTACAAATAATAAAAATCACAGTCAAATCTTAAGTAATGATTTTATTTTCCAATTTTATTTACCTATAGACAAAAAATAGATCAAAACGTCGACAAAGAGGGCGTGTTTATAGGCCTACGAGAAACTCGTAAGTGCGAGTGTTCTGTATGTCACAGCCCACGTTTGCCGTCACAGTCACAAAAAAGTACTTTTCCGAACTTTACACTGACTAATCGACCAGAGGTCAGTTATGTCCAGGTCCAGAAGCAAGTGGATGTACAAGCTCTTACTGTCACTGCTGAAGTTAACATGTGAGATGAAAGGAAGAAAAACAATGGAGAGAAGGAACATCTCTCACTCCACGTCAGACAATTATTAATATTCCTTTTCTTTTTTCTGTTATTAAATCCACAGTATTGTTTGGCAATTCACCAGTTTTTAATTTTCAGTTGTTATATATTTTACTTTCAATGATTTAATGATATTTCTGACAGTTATGGTAATTTATAAGAACAAAAAAAAAACTGCCAAAGTCTCAGTTGGACATTCGTTTGTCCTCTTGTTTCTGGTATTAAAAGCTTTAATTCACTTCTGGTTGTCTATTCTGGATCACTTCCAGGCAGATACTCCGCATAGTCCGAAGCTTTATTACCTAATTTAAGATAATAAAGTTATATGAGTAACATCACTTGGATTGTAAATTATATGACCAATTATTTTTAGTAAAATTTCAATAAAACACAATACTTACCATTGAGAATAGAGCTTTCATATTTGTTTGGTTTGGCCATATTTTTTGTCAATAGGTTAAGAAAATGAAGATTCTCAAAGCATTATCACATCTTGTGTCAGTGGCTGTGAAATAAATATTCCATTAGGCAGTAGGAAATATTTTCATAAACATTTACAATTAGTTTTAAATACTTAGAATATCGGTAACTTCTTTACTATTATATATCCTATTTATTAAACATCAAAATAAGCAATGTATTTTAATGATATTTGTTTGTCTGTTGAATTTCTTGCAAAGCTACATAAGGACTATCTGCGGTAGCCGTCTTTAATTTCGAACTGACAGACAAGAAATGATGATAGACAGTCAACAATACTCCCCATCAACTCTTTGGCTATTCCAATCAAATTGTGGAATTTAATTGTCAATGTTATAACGCACCAACGAGTGTGGAGCGTGGTTTTATGAAAACTTAGTACATGGTTTCTTGACATGAATGTTTCTACAAGTATTTAAGGTTATATTTTAAAATCATCTACGTACTTCCTTCACGTGTTAGTAATAATATGCCTTCATTTTTTTTACATGAAACAGTCACAGTTTCACCGTTACTCAGGTCCCTCGGTGGGTTAGAGGTAAGTTTACGGACTTACAACTCTGAACTTTGGGGCTCGATTCTCTGCGATGTTTAGAGCGTAGTTAACCTATGTAGCTTTGCACTAAAACTTGGACACTATAGCCACCCCTCCCCCAGTGACACAGCGGCATGTCTGCGGACTTTGTTTGTTTGTTTGCTTGTAATTAAGCACAAAGCTACACAATGGACTGTCTGTGCTCTGCCCACCACGGGTATCGAAACCCGGATTCTAGTGTTGTAAGTCCGCAGACATACCGCTGTGCCGCTGGGGGGCGTCTGCGGACTTAGAACGCTAGAAACAGGGTTTCGATACCCGTGGTGGGCAGAACACAAACAGCCCATTGGGTAGTTTGTGCTTAATTTCAAATAAACAAAAGACACTATAGAATTTATATTAAAAACTATTATTTTTTAATGTAGACTCTCGAATTTAAATCTAACAATTGTGAACACGATTTATCAAAGAATTTTAAGATCCATAACCATAAATGTTACATATATTTCTTTCTTACAGATTTTCAAAATAATATCAGTAAACATCTGTTTAAGTTGATTTTATTAATATTTATTATATTATATGTAATTTCAGTTATGCCATAACAATTTTGGCTCTTAACACTTACCAAGATAACCTTATATGCGTGTTAGGTAGTATAGATGATTAATTAAAATTATACAGCGAAGCATCTATTTGAACAACCCCTGCTGGCTCATCGGCAAGTATAAGGACTTGTAACGCTCAAAATCGGGTTTCGATGCCGGCGGTGAGTAGCTCAAAAATAGCATACTGACCAGAAAGTAGGTGGGCGGTACTGATAAATTATTGGAATTAATTATAATTTCAGGTTTAAAATGTATTAGTAGTACATATTGACTTCATTATTTTAGCCATCGTTATGCTATTCATGCAGAAGTATGAAACTTACGAGAGTAATGCCAACTCCTGGGGATAAGTTTTACATAACAGCCCAAGCTTTTTTGTTTGTATAATGTTTCATTAGAGCAACTACCTTCCTATCAGTCACTCCAGAAGATTTTTGATGTGAGACTATATCTGCCTGAAATCTTATTATTTTAGTTTATTTCACATATGAAGATTAAAACTGACAAACGGTGTATCCCCATTACTACGTGGGCCCGACTTCTTCAGATACCTCCCCCGCTTGGATACATTTGACGTTGCCTGTCCTTTAGTGTACGTCATAGTTATATGTGCGGCAATATTTGTTTTTGGCCTAGTTGTTTCAAAGTAGACGTATTGTTTTTTCTTTATCTAAACATTTAGCTGTATGGGTTAATACTCAGAGATGTATGAAAAAGTCGACTTTTTTTTCTGGCATTAGATTTTTAGCAGCGACACAGCGGCTCATAGAATGGCACCGAGTTATTTTTGTTGTTTTCAAGTACACACTTTTAGCTCATAGCTCCGTCATCTCTCGACCGATTTGAGTTCTAATTACAGTTTTGGACTCAGAAGGTCAAACCCTTTCGATTGACTTATTTGAGCACGCCCCTTAATTTACTCTAATCCTGCGTAAAAGAATTTTAATTTGAGGGTAGGCTGGTAGAGATTCTGATGAGTAATGAAATCGAATCGGGCATACGTGCGCTCTACGTGCTAATAAAAAAGGAGAAAAAAGGTCTCATAGATTAATTTACTCTAATCTTGCCTAAAAGAATTTCAAGTGCCGCGGCCAATGGGATTCCCTCTTGTTTAAAAGGCGTTCAGATACTATAACAAGACCATAAAAAACCAAAGTTTTAATTTGAATGTTGTTTTACCAAAACCTTACATGTACTATCAGTAAAAATGGTTGCACAAACATCCTAAAACTTGGTTACCCGTCCTGAATAATAGCCTTAAGTACACAATGTCAATATCCCCTTTGTGGTATTCTTATACAAATATGATACCTTTTTTTTAATCAATTAATGATCTCTAGTTGAGGTACAATATCATTCAAGCACTGGTATTTAGAATATTTTAGTATCATCTTGTAGATTTATTTTCCAAATCATCAATTTAACAATCTTTAACAGCTCAAAAATGTGTTAACACCCAAGTCATCCAATCATTATAACAGTCTGGTCACACACACCCTTAGGTAATAAATCTCTATAATATTATAATTACCAACCAGTAAATTGCTAATATTTAGATTAACACTCAAATCGTCCTAGTATAATAACGATCTGGTCATGAATCCTTGTACTGTGAATCCCAATAACGACATGATTATTGGCCCGTAAGCTGCTCCTCATAATAATGTTACGTCTCCGTTTGTTAATTAACTTTCCGTAACTTCGTTCCGACGAAACTTTAGCGACACAAGTCCTTACTTAATAAAACTGGTTTATTCTTTCCGAATACAACTTTACGATACACTTATCTTCAACATTCGCACTATAACAAACACTATAACGAATGAACGTTAACTTCAACAATACCCTGTGACTGCAGTTCAATTTCTCACTATCTACACACACATTATTATTCCGTCACGTTGTCACCCTCTTTTACATACCAGACTACCCTATATCTAGTAAATACTAGAGCATTCGCCAAGGTACAGGATAGTTCTAGAAAATAGGTGGCGCCACACCAGTCACGTGACCTCGATGACGCAACCATAACATAGCGTCTTGTTTTAATACTAATCATCAACCAATAAGTTTGTCGAAATACTGCAACACCATTAACCATGTTAATATCAGTCACGTATGAAGCTTCATTACATCCTGATTACCAGCCAACAGGATGTTATAAACATCAGATACCATAGTGTGAATGGTACTCACACGTTTGTGACACAGATATCATACTTAGCATGGCCAAAGATTACCAGCCAGTTGGTCCAGGTAAATATGATATCTGTGTCATGAACATGTGAGTACCACTCACACTATGGTGTTTGATGTTTTATAACTCCTTATTACCAGTCAGTTGGTCCAGATAAAGACCATATAAACACTATACCATCCTAATTACCAGAGTCTTAGCTAGGGTAGGGCGGAAGGGGAGCGCAGTTCGAACGCTAAGCCTGTTACTAAATAATTTATGCACAACTATACAGACTGGAGGGCAAAGAGAAAAACTTACCACTTGAACTTATCATCCTAATTAAGTAAGATAACTTGCTCTGTTGCTCATTATTCTTAAACTACGTCGTCTCGTTCTTAAGTTATAACATATATCATAATTATTTTTATATTTTCTCGTATTGTGGTATTTACCATCTCATTTAGCTACGTGCTTCTTGTCCTGTGAAAAGGTGAGGCAGACCTAAAGTCCAATACACTATATGTAACCTCAGCAGATCGACCAGCTTGCACGGGACGCGAAGAAAAGGGATGGTGGGAGGGGCACAAAGTACACTATATGTAACCTCCGTAGACCGACCGGCATGCCCGAGACACGAAGAAAAGGGATAGGGGAGGGGCACAGTTCGTGAAACTTGCACAGGGCGCAATAAGGACTGGCTATGGCTCTGCTAATTACCGTGTATTTAATTTCTCAAAATACCAGGCGATATTTATTTTAATATTGATCATCAACCAGTAGGTTTGTAGGAATACTAAACCATCTCTGTCACGAACATGCACAAAACAAAGTTACATATCATCTTGCTTACCTATAGCTTCATTTCTTCGAGGTTTTACAGACATATATTAACTTCCACGTGCAACATTCACATATCATAATGTCCCTGAACAAACGCCAAAACATTTTCACCTCTCTGCGCCACATATATGTAACAGTTCTGATCTGAACAAAAGCCAAAATGTGTAACAGTTTTTAAAAAAATCATGTTATATACAATTATGATATACTAATTTTCATGTTCATTATTTCTGTCATCATAAACAAACATATAAACGCTATTGTATCTTAAAGTATCTTAACATTTTAGAAATATTAACATGATAATAGATTCTGAGACTGATAAAATGTTTATTTCTTTGCATATCAAAATATTTCTGTTTTGTTTCTCGTGCGCTGAATTATTCACAGTTATAGCGACTGTATCTCATAAGTTATTTTATCGAATACTATGATATCCATCTGTCTGTGGTGTATATATATTTTGTGGTAATGTACTTTGTATTTGTGTTGTACAACTAGAGGTTTGGTATAGTGTCTACGTGCTTACAAACATTTTAAACATTGAACTTTCTAAAAGATACGTTGATTATTTATAGTAAGAATAAGTTGCTTAGTTCTTTATTTATAATTTCTGAAGATGACAACAAATTCTTGTAAGATGTGCCACTTAAAAGAGGAGATGATTAACTACGAAATAATGTAAGAGTTAAAAGAATGGACGGGGAAATGCTAAAAATCAAGGTTAAACTGGCCCATTCACACAGGGTATTCAAGTTAACATGCTGCAAATCAATTCTCGATAATACTGGCCCATTCACACAGGGTATTCAAGTTAACATGCTACAAATCAATTCATGATAATACTGGTCCATTCACACAGG